ACACGGACACTTCCATTACTCTGGAAAGTTCCCTCGTAACTAGAAAATCCTCCCATTCCCACTCAACACAGCCATTGTTCTGACGTCTGTCACCACAGGTTATTTCCCCTGATCCAGATCGTCACAGAAGTGTAGCATGTAGTGTGTTTTTTCTTGTTTCTTTCATCTTTTGTGAGATCCATCCTTTATTGTTATATTGGTAGTTCATGTAATACATCTTTTTCCTTTAATTGTTCTTAAAATTTTCTCCTTATTGCTTGCTTTCTTATAATTTTTACTGAAATATGTCTTGGTGCAGTTTTCTTTGTGTGTATTCTACTGGGTTTACTTGGGTTTCTTGATTTAAATTGCAGTTTTCCTCAAATCTAAAGATTTTTCTGCCATGATCTCCTCAACTCTGTTCCCTTGCCCCTCCGTCACCACTGGGCTCTAGCTGCAGGGACAGGGGCTCCTAATACTCCTCAGAGGTCACTGAGGCTTTTGAAAATTTTAGTCTTTTCCCCTCCATGCTTGTTAGTTTGTAGAGTTTCTATTGCTGTGTATTTGAAGTCACTGATCTTTCCTTCTGCAGAGCTTAACCTTCTTCTGTTCAGTCCATCCAGTGAATTTTTCATTTCAGATATTCTATTTTTAGATCGTAGATTTTTATTTGATTATTTTCAAAATAATTTTTGTTTCCCTGCAGAGGTTTTCCATGTTTATTCTTATATCATCTTTTCCTTTAAATCCTCAAATGGGCTTATAGAAACACCTCTGATTGCTCATTTTAGCATCTGTGTCATCTTTGAGTGTGCGTCTACTAAATTTTTGTTTTGTTTTGCAGGGGGGAAGCCCTGGTTATTTTTCTGCTTCTTTGCATATCTCTCTCTCTCTCTCTCTCTCTCTCTCTCTCTCTCTCTCTCTCTCATTGTGTGCAATTTCTTGTGGTTTGCTGAATGCAACATTCTTGAGAGTCTAGACCAGTTTCAATTTCTGTTAAGATGTCTGTAGAAACTGTCACTCGAGGACCGGCATAGCCCCAGTCTCAAGGCACAGTCTCTCTGAGGTCTGGGCTGAATGCCTGAAGTGTTCAGCAGGCCTTTCCACTCTGGCTGATTGGAACTTCCGTGGCTCCAGTGCACTTTGGCCTCTGGAATCTCCAGGAAGCTCAGGGGCCTCAGCAGATGTTCTCCGGCCGGCCTGGGTCTGGTTCTGCTAATGTCCAGCCTGGTGTTAGATGGAAGACTCCAGGGGCTTAGACAACTTCTTGAGCCCCTGTGTGTGCAGCTACATTCTGCTCTGGTGTCCTGCCTCGCACATTCCAATCCGCAGTAGCCACAAGGCTCCCTCTCAGACCGTCCACTCAGAAACAAAGTGCTCCTGTGTGGAGCTCCTCTGTGCTGCGTTTAGGGAGCGTCCCCAGGCAGAAAGCTGGGCTGAGTGCGACTTCACTCCATGCGTTTTCTTCCAGAGATAGATAGATAGATGACAGAAGGATCAGTTGTATATCCACTATTCTGTCATGGTTGCAACTAGATTTCCCACCTTTATTTTAAATATGTATTTCACTATTCTATGATTATCTGTGTGTGTTCCTTCCCCAGGGAAATGGCTGAGTCTGGCCATTTTTGCACCTTTGACACCTAACAATCCCCTTAAATTGTGCAGAGTAAATTATTTTTGAATGAATTAATATTATATATTTCATTTACAAAGTAGTAATTTAAATTTTATGTTACACTTGTTCAGAATTGCAATTATTTTATATAGTAAATGTATATGGTTATGTTATTTACATGGCAGGTAACATTATATATATGTATATATAATACATGATATATATGTTTAAAGTGTATACACACACACACACATCTTGTAAAGTTAGGAACACATACACATGGCTTAAAATGCAGAAGTTTTAAAAAGCGAAGCAGTGAAAACTTAAGTCTCACTTGCTTCCTTATTTCCCAGACAACCAGTTCTGCTCTCCTGAGACAACGTCCTCCAGTTCCTCCCCACCCCTCCTGGAAGGATCCTAGGAATTCACAAATATAAATAGTATGCATTTCCTGCTGCCCACGTTGTGGTATACTGATATTTCCCTCTACTTAAACTTACACAGGTACATTGGAGCTCTGCAGTCTGTGTGTGGATGCCCCCAAATCTGTTTATGTCTGCTTCCATTGCAGACCACTGAGGCTGCTCTCAGTTGCTTTCTAACACAAAATGCTATGAGGAGTCGCCTTGTTTGCTGCCATTTCACCCACACAAGCCTATAAGCAGAAGCAGAATTCCAGCCCTGGGGCAGATTGGGTGTGCCTACCCACGCTGAGGGCAGATCCTTGCCCCCTAGGCCACTCAGGCTCGCCTGCTGCCTGACTTCTGGAAACACCCTCAGACACACCCCAGTAATGTTTGGCAGGTTCCTAAGTACTTCTTAATCCAGTCAAGGGGATCCTTAAGCTAACCGCCACAGCAATCTGGACAGTGGCATTCAAATGACTGCACTTCTCGGCTGCTCTTATAACCAGGCCACCAGAGAGCAAAGGGAAGGCTGGCCTCAGACGCTCAGACTCATCCATGACAGTCCATGTGAAAAGGCCGTAAAGCAGCCAGAGCAACGTGCAGCAGCCACATGTCACCAGAGAATAAAGGCTGACTTCCTCGTCTGGCTGTGATGGAGGAACAGGGTCCCGAGTCACCTCCCAGTCTTGAAAAATCAGTAAGATGGAAGAAAATAACACAGAATGGTGTGCAGACATTGGCCATCGGTGGTGCAGGGCTGAGAGAGAGGAAGGAAGTGAAGGAGGCCAGCTTCCAGGAGGGGTTCCAGGCTGCTGTGCAGGAGGGGAAGCAAGAGAAACGCGGTGGGCTCCAGAGTGGAGAGGAAGAGACCAGCTGTGAGGAGGCCAAAGTGGCCAGCCCGGGTGGTGAGTCCTGGAGAGAGCAGAGCCGCAGCGGGAGGCTCCTGGGAGCAGGGAGGAGCTCGTCTAGCCATCCAGCTGGGGCGTCTACAGAGTGATGAGTCTCAAAACGAGAGCCCGCTTCACTTCGTTATATGTGCAAAAATCAACTCGAAGCAGGCCTCATTTTAAATATAACAGCAAAACTATAAAACTTCTAGGAAAAAAAAAAAACACAGAAAAACATCTTTGCCATCTTGGGTTAGGTAAAGATTTCTTAAATATGATGTGTAAAGCATAACCCACACAATGAAAAGATTGTAAATTAGACTTCACCAAAGTGTTAAAATTGTATTCTTCAAAAGATGTTAAAGGACGATTTTTAGAAGATTTTATGTAAAAACCGACAGGACCTGGAAATAGCCATCTTGAGAGGAAAATTTCTGGGCTTTAAATACTTTGATTATTAATGCAAAAAATTAAGGAAATTAAATATTTATTCCAGAAAATTAGAAAAGGCGGAAGAAAATGAAGGACAGTAATAGAATAGCAGTAAAACCAAAATGTAATATTAAAAACCAGCAATCCAGAAGATGAAACAGACGTGTAGATAGGAACCGAGAGCACAGCAGAGACGGCCAGCTCAGTACCTTCCTGAGTTCTCAGTTCCACCCTTACCCTGGGTTCTGGCTCTGATCAAATATATCATTGTGCTCTTAGACAAATCTGCATTAATTTTTAATATGTAAATAACCTTAATGATTTCGGCTTTTCAGTAAGTGAAAAGTGTAAGGCTGAAATATTTGATTACATAGACATATTAGACTTGAGTCAGTGTAAAGGTCTATGAATTCTCAAATACATGGCACGATTGAAATGCAAACAAAGATAGGAGTATATATAAATATGTATGTACATATGAAGATATATACATGTGCAATACACAAAACTGATAAAGGTTTACTGTACAAAATTTTATAAATAAAAAGAAACACCTCTACATAGTAAATAAACCAACACTATAAACAGAAAACGTGTGGCAATAAATACACTTGGAAATAAACACATTAAGATATGTTAGCTGCCCGTGATTTAGAGAACCCCACACATCAAGCTAGTCCTTGTCGCTCGGCTTCTGAAAGAGTAAAGGCTTGGGTGGTGTTTGGTGGCAGGGAGCCTGGAACATAAGGACTGCAGCACAAAGTGCCGTGGGCCAGGCTTGAGACTAGATCCGACTTTCTACTGTGCGTGCAGCGTGGACCTGGAGATTCTCCTGAGAACTATCCGGGGAAACACTGTACAGTGTCAGTAGCTTGAAGAAGTAAGGAGCGTGGCACCATTATGGGCAGAGCAGTGAGGAGTGGAGCCCACCAGCAGTCCCAGAATGACCTGTGTGGGAGCCGTGTGATGGCACCTGGCTGTGGACACAGAGGAGCGCCCTGGCAGCTGGCTGAGGTTCTTTAAGGCAGATTATGAACTAGAACATGCAGTAGGACTCAACTTCAGAATAAATGTGTGTGTGGACATAAAGACGTGGATGTGAAAGCCATGCCCAGCTGCGGATAGGACGACTCTCCCGGAGTAAATCGTTTGTTCTTACTTTTTAAAAGTTCTTGTCAGTCCTGTTGGAAATCCTTCTCGTAATGAGCATAGATAGTGTTTGTATCATGATACCAAATTATTTTTATGCTGGTAGGAGGGCTAGAAGGAAGAAACTTGAAATTCCACTTTACTTCTTAAAACTGTAGTCAAAACAAGTAAAATTCAATGGAAAAAGAAAAAAACAGTTTTCCCCAAACTATGCAACGCTGTGAGGATGTGGCAGTGAAGTGGGCACCCTGGCTGTGTCGGGGAGGGGTGGGCAAATCGGTGCTTTCTCTAACGAGCAGCAAGCAACAGCTTCAGTCCAAATTCACGTATTTTAACTCACATCCAGAAAACCAGCTAGGAGATAATTAGAGACGTGGATAAAAATTTATGCCTAGAATCTTCCTGCATTATTCTTTTTCAGTCAAATCGAAACAACATAAATGTCAACAATAGTGGAGTATATGTGTACCTAGCTCCAATAGTGCATTCAACCCATGTGTGCTGTGTCTCCTGGTGCTGCTCTTTGGGAGAGCCTGGGGTTCAGTGGTGTGCAGTGTACACGTGCCCACCTCCTACAGCAGTGTCCACCTTCACAGGAAAGACAGTGACCTCACTCCACATGGGGCTGTCCAAGAAAAGTGCAGGATACCGAGGTGCACAGATGATATTTCTGTACAATGACAGAATGCCATGGGAAGATAAATGAGAAATATGCTGTGAACTTCTTTTTACCACCTCGAGAAATGGTGTGGGAGTTCCTCTGAGGGCCAGAAGTGACCTTTTAGAGACTATTAACCACTCAGCAGAGAGGACACGAGGGAAAAGCCCTGAGCGAGAGTGTTCTGAGCCGCCTGCACCAGAACACTAAAGCAAAACCTCTTCAGTTATAATTTAAATAGCATGCAGATACCATCCAGTTTGGAAGAGGAAATTTGAAAGACACACCTCCCTGAGAAGGTATAAAGGTAAGGAGGTGTGAGCCCACAGGACCTTTGACAAAGTCCTAACTAACCTCCTTAGGGTCTCTCTTGGGAGCAGTGGTAGGGAGATAACACTCCCCCTTCTTGAAGGAGTGGGGCTTTATGCTGGTGGCTGCTGGAATCACCAGCACTTTAGGGGTAAAGTGTTGTCTCATTACTTAGGAATTGCAATTCTGTCCTGACATGGCAGACTGAGCTGACTTTGACGGCATGACGAAGGACTATAAATTAATCGAATGATTGAGGAAGTCCTTGGAGACTGTGCTACCCCTGTTCATGCTGGTTGGCTGCAGCCATGGTAACCTCTTACTCCAGACCAAAGTCCGGGCTCTGCTGAGCTTTATGACCAGGCCCAGGGTTCAACGTCCAGCAGCACAACCTCCTTTGGGAGAGCGAGGTTTTCTATTCCACAGCAAATTATTGGACTCCATTTCTAACACTGGACTCCAAATGATAAGGTCCATAAATCTTATAAGCAGATCTTTATTCTTTTACCCTACGGAAATCATCTCCCTGAAAAATGCCGACAGCGCAGAAGACCTTGATGTTCTTGTCTGGTTTTCTCACGAGCCTGGGGTCCGTCATCGTAATCTGCTCGATGCTGGGGACCCAAGCATGGATCACCAGTACAGTTGGCATCACAGACTCCATCTCCAACGGCAGCGTCACCATCACCTATGGTCTTTTTCGTGGTAGGAGCACTCAAGAAATTGATCAAGGACTTACAGAACCAGACAAAGACTTTGAAGGTAATGGTGAGCTCATGTGAATGATACAGTGAGTGTGAATTAAGATTCATGTCATTCTGTGTTTGGGCAGAGTGACCACTTGAAAATAACTGCCTTGTACTTGCTGAGTGAGGCTGAAGACCAAGCCTACTTCTTAATTTTGAGAATTCACTGTGTTATTGTTTCTACTTCCTGAGTTCTGGCTGTGTCTTTCATTGCAACAGTCTGTCATTCTAGCAGTGGCTGTGTGTGGATGGTGCCAAGTTTACTGTTAAGTCAACAATTCAGCAATGATAATACTTCAGTAAATATATATAGGGACACTCTGGTGTTGGATCGCCAGTAGGAACCGCATTTTAACTGAATTGGATTTTAAATTGGGCAACAACCTCTGTCCAGTACTTCCTAAATAACATGATAGGGAAAAAATAAAATGGAAAACATCCCACCTCTGTTCCTACTTCTCAGCTTCGTTTCTTAAACCAATTTGAATTTACATTCTTGTCTTCAAAATATCTTGTTGTTGGAAATAACATGTAATTTCTACTGATTCTATTAATTATGTATTTTATAGGAACCCCTATTTTTTCCTAATTTCTCATATAATAATGCCTTCCTCTCAATAGGTTTAAAATTACATTTGTTGAGAATAATAAGTTGATTTGGCTACTTGACTTTTGAAATTTGATTACTATCAGTATGTTTTTAAAATCTTAGAACTACATTTGTAAATTGTATAACACAGAAGAGGACTTCATTTTGAACTATACATATAGATATTAGAACTATACATATAGATACATATCACTATACATATAGATATTAAAGAGGCATTAGCAGGTATTTTGCAACATTAACTTTTAGCTTTTAGATATTTGTCATTTTCAACCTTATACAAAGACAGTGTTTAGGTTCTGGCTCTAGTTCGCTTATGACTGTGTGTGACTGTGTGTGTGTGTGTGTGTGTGTGTGTGTGTGTTGCTGAGGATTGAACTCGGGGCCTTGAGCATGTGAGGCAAGCACTCTACCAACTGAGCTATATCCCCAGCCCTGCTTATGACTTTGTTAATGAAGTGATTCCCTTAAGTCCAAAGCAGTGTGGTTGTGTGTCCCAGTCACAGGCCTGTCTTCCAGGTGTTGTAAAAGTTCCCTCTCCCCCGGCATTCAGCAGCTTCCCAGAGGGACCAGGAACATTTGCTCTACAGCAGTTAGAAGTTCAGATGTCAGTAATTCAGTCATATTTTTAGTTATGTGAGTATCATTTTCAAAATGAAAAGGGAAGTAGTTTCTGAATCTCTAGACACATAAAAAAATTAAATAAGAGACAAAATCTACAAATTTTTGGTTTTTATATGATGCCTGTTTAGAACTAGTTGGTTCCAATTTGAGATCAATGATCCCAGTGGAAGCCCTGACTCTTGGCCACCAGAGGAGGCCCAGAGGAGACCAAGGCAGGATGGGCCTGGGGCAGAGCCCGGGGAGCCATGTTGGGGGCAGAGTTGGGAGAGTCCCTAAGGGTCAGCGCCCAGTGGGGAGCAGGAAGGGGAATATCTGCTTCTCCTTTGCCTGGCTCTCTTCCACTCTGTCCAGGGGTCTCCAGGAACCTCCCAGTGTTGCTGTCCCCCTGCCACGCTCTAGATGAACTGCCACCCAGTGGGTGAGGGTGCTGCACACTTGCCCTGCTGACATCTAAGGACCCTCACAGCCCGGGGGGGGGTCTTCATCAAAGATGACTGCCTTAATTACGGAAATTTTGACAACTCTCTCAGTTAGGAAGAAGTCTCTAGAAGACCTGCCTTGGTGTTCCACTGCTAAGAGTGCCTGGTGCTTCCCAGAGAGCAGCACCACAGTCCCTACGTGAGACGCCACGGCCCTCTCCCACTGCTTGTCTTGGCTGCCTGGCGCTTATTTCAAATCAAAAACCAATCATCAGCAGCAAAATAAAATCTGTATCAACACCGCTGTCCTGCTCTGGGAGGACAGACGTTCCACTGGGGAGGTTAACTTTGTCAGGTTAATGTTAGCTTCTTAGCTAATTCCAGCTCACACCGAAAACCTTGAAGGAATAGTGATTATCACCAAGCTGTGCCACATTTCTGCATAGGATCTATCATAGTGTGCCAATTTGAGCTGAAGATTTGATATTAAAGATGTCTGACTGCAGAGTGCCATAATAATTCAGCCCACAATAGGCAACTGATGGAGAAAATAACCAGTCAGACCAGGAAGGAAGTCCTCCATGGTGTAGCTGGACTGTCCAGGAGGTCAGGTTGACTGGATGTGCCCTAGTTTGCCCAACATCCAGATGAGAAGTGACAGGTCCTTTATGTGCAGACATGAACAGATCATCTTGTGACTCCAGAAGTTCTGGATACCTCATTTCAGTCAAAAGACCTTCCCCGAGCAGTTGCCATACAGTGAGGCCTGGGATTCTGACAGGATTTGCACACAGCTCCTGGCTTGGAGGGCTCACCACCCAGGGCAGAAGAATTGAACTCAACCAGTTAAGTTCAACACCTGCTGTAACTGCAGGGCTGTGGTGAGTGCAGGTCTCCACAAAAGCAAGGAGTTGGGTGGGGGACATGGCTCTGCAGACTCCTTGGGGACAGAACCCTGAAAACCTGGAGGACAGGAGGACACAGGCTCACAGTCGTGGTCATGTGCCTTCTCCTTGGTTTGGATCTTGTGTGTTATGCAAACATAAAAAACTTAAAAGAAGTCATTTCTCTGACTTTGGCTTTTGAAAATGTCATTAGGGGTCAATGGGTGTGATGTATAATATTTCCTCACCCTGGCAACAAGGACAAAGTGAGTCACTCACATGTAGAACATGGGGTCATTTCAGATGTCACCCAGCCTACATGCCATCCAGAACATATATTTTTACAGAATCATTTTGACAGAAAAAACTTTTGTGAAAGACATTCTGTTCGTGTGGCACTGGACCTTTATTCTTGGTTCCAAGAATGGTTTTGCAGTAGGTATGTGGCACTTTGAGCACTTGCATTGCAAGGACACTGAGTCTCTGAGGCTAGAGGTAGAATCACCTGGACACTGGCAAAGAAACCCTGCTTGACGGGGATCTCAGGGAGTTGTCCCTGGTCTGCTTGTTTTAAGAATCCCTCCCAGATACCTAAGACCAAGCAATTCTAAGTCTGGTGATGACCGCCAGCCTCGCCATGGCCAGATGCTAGGAGGGACGCTTACATTGCCATGCTGGGCATTGCTTCAAGCTCCAGTGCTTAAAGTTAAACTAGTTTATTGGGAATAGCTCTAGATGCAACCTTGAAAATGAACCCACATAGGCTGGAAGAAGGCATCAGGACCCACTGGCCCTCATGCTGCCCTCGAGTCAATGACCAATCATACACTGTAGGAACGTCACCCCCATCTGGCCTCTGTGCCTGTCAGTCTCCACCAACCCCATTGTTCCCAGGAGATCAACAAAGATAAAAATAACTAGGAATGGGCTGGGGCTGTAGCTCAGTGGTAGAGCGCCCCCCCTCGCACGTGAGAGGCACTGGGTCTGATCCTCAGCACCACATAAAAATAAATAAAGATATAAAAAAAAATTAGGAAAACAAATATGCTGCAAAAGCCGGTTGATTGCAAAGAGAAGAAGAAATGAAGTCGATTGTCTAAGGAACACATGCAGACATCTGCCTGCCACCCCACACACCTGTGCCCTCACACAGGGACACTTCCCTAGAGAAGAGCTACTCCTCATTTGCCCTCAGAAATGTAACCATGCTGAAGGGGGGAGAGGATAGGACACAGGTGTCCTGCAGGGCTCAGCCACCCTTCTCTCAAGACAGCCCTGGCAACATTCCTAGAGGCGGGCACCAGAGGCCACCCACCAGGAGGGTCTGAGTCATGCTCTGAGATCTGTTGGCATCACGACCCCTTCCAGGGTTGCCCTCTTGTCCACAGATTCAGAAGATGCCCTGATCAGGCCCCTAGTGGCCAGTGTTTGAGAGGGAGGGGAAGTGTGGGTGCCCACCCACCTACCAGGCCACTGGCACTTCCCCCCAGTGTCCGAGGACTTACAGAAAACTAGAAAGGCAGGTGGCAAGTGGGCCTGAAGGGGTTAACCATCCCTGCTCAGGGAGCCGGATGTCCAGTGCCACTGCTTTTGTCCCTTGCTCCACCAGCCAGCAGTCCAGTCCTGCCTCCCAGCTGTGGGGCCTGTGGGCCTGCACTCCCCTCTGTGGCCGTGTGTTCCTGGCCTCTTTCCGGGGGTTGCCAGAATCAGGGCAATTAGTTCCAATTGTGAGGTGGCTTTCCTGACTCAATGCTTGCCCCTCAAAGAAAGGAAAAGAACGGCATGTGTTTGCTAATTCCATAGCAGAGAGCAGCTGTCAGATGCGGGAGGTTGGTTGCCATTCCATTCTTGCTAACTTTTGCTGCATTTTCTGCTTTCATTGTCTGAGTTCTGAGGCAGGAACTGGAAGGAAGACACAGCTGTCATACCTGGGTGGCAGGGAATTCAGGATGCTGAAGAGCAATTTCACCATGTAGCAGTTAACATTAAGTCGAACTGTCCCCTTAATACAGGGAAAGTAGGAGCCAACAGCCCCAAGTTGACTCTTTTGAAGATCACGTCTACCAATTCCTACCAAAAGTCAAAGAAAAGAGCTGCCCTCTACTGTCCCTTCCTGTTTTACTCTGAAAAAAATGGAATGTTAACCAGTTTTGAATGAACATTTACTGCTTTTTATTAAGTGTGCAAAGCAGAAAAATACTTCAGGGCACTTCGAGTGTCTGGGACATAAGATATGTTTTTCACACTGAAACTTCTGTTTTCTATTGAGTGTTCAAATTATTTCTTTGGCTCTCAAACTTTGCCAAAGAGAGGGCTCCTATGTCTCTTCCAACTTCTGGTGGGATCCCCAAGTTTCCCTCGAGAAAGCTGCTTTGCATGGAATGGGAAGTGACCCCACCTTAACAGTGATGAGGCACTAAAACACGAAGGGCCTGACCTGTACCTCTGGCTAGGTGTGTCCGCCTTGGTCTTCCTACTCCTCCTCTGAGGTCACTTTCCTCTAGTTTCACAACAGGTGACAGGTGTATGCTAAGTTAGAACAAACACGATATCCCATGAAAGGTGGGAGAAAGAGGCAAGAGACTCAGCTAAGGTCAGGGACAGGTGTAGCCCCTGCCAGGTGGCCCCTGGCCCCTCAGGCCTGCCCACCTGGCTCCACCACAGGGGGTCATGGCCTGACTGCACTCTAAGTCTGACATACTCTTAGAGCCCTTGACTAAGTGCAGGGCAGAGAATGTGGTGCCGAGGATCTTACCACCCGTGCCAGGGATCACCATGGGAAAGCACAGAGCAGCCCCCTCATGGCGGAGGACAAGGTGGTGGGAGTGCCCCGTGAGCTGAACTTAGCTCCCAGGCCCAGCTGGGGAGTGAAGCGCTCCGTAGCCCAGGATGGTGAGGTCACCTCCACGTCAGCTGAGCTGATAACTTCCTCTGCTCCCTTCCCCCCTGGGTTCACAAGGGACATGTGGCCATGAGCAACACCCAGGATCCCTGCCTCCCTTTCCCCTCTGACTCTCTTTCCTGCCCTTTCTCACTTCCACGTCCCCCTCTCCTTTCTGCCGGTGTCCCCTGCTCCCTGTCTACAGCAGCTCCTTGCTCAGGGCTCAGCCACAGAGGACCAGGACACCCGCCCCTGGGCCACCTTCTCTCTTCCCAGGAGGGTCTTTACAGTAAGATCACTCTGCCACCCACCTCTGAGGGCCTGTCTGGGATGCCCAGCTGCAGACTTGCTGGCCACAGCTCTTTTATGCCCACTCTCTGCCCAGTGGGAGGAACTTGCTTCCCTCACAGGGCACTGCTGATTAAAAAGCAAAAACTGTATATTAAAAGGTGATCAAATGGACTGTCCAAACTAGTTTAAGATGTCCCAAACTAGGGTGAAGACCTGCTCCTGCCCAAGAAGAATGCCCGATCTGTTGTCGTCAGCACACCCTGATCAACAGTGGGCGGGAAGTGCGTGCAGAGGGACACTGACAAAGCCCCTCCAGGAGGTGGCTGTTGATGACGTCAGTGTTCACCCCTCCTCAAACACTTGGGGGGGCTGCCAGGCAGGAGGGGGCAGTGCACTTTTGTTTTCATGGGGACAATCTGGGCGCCTGGGCAAAGCTGTGGGGAAGCAGATTTGGGCTCAACACAATGAAGAATTTTCAGTAATTGAGGCAGTGCAGGGGAGGACATTGTAGAGAGAGGATGTCCCCTCATGGAGGCTGGAACAGGTTCTGGCAGCCCCTCCCTGGGAGCCCTCAGCACACACAGCCCTGGAAACAGGAACATTACCTAGCCTGGCTGCTCTCTGTTCTCTAAAGCTGTGCTGAGCTACAGGTCTGAGAGTCTCCAGGCTCTCTCCACGGGGCCCTGGGAAGCTCGAAGGGAAGGAGGGTTTACTTGCCACTCCACCCTGCCCCCTGGCTCTGGTACCTGGCAATTCCCTATGGTTTTCTTAGTGTGTTGCTCTCAGCTCTGAAATCTCTCCCAAGTCATTTTTTCCTTATGACGTCATAGGCCTTCCTGTAACACTGAACTTAAAGAGGGGTCATCTGCTCAGGGAAGGAGGGGATGAGTGACTAGGCGTGTGGTGTGGGCTGCCCAGTCAGGTCACTTGTGTCATAGCAAAGAGGCAGCTGGAGGAGACCGAGGCCAGGGAGGATGGCTGCTGGTGGTCAGAAGCTGTGAAGACCCTGTGGTGCATGGCCCAGGGGTCCTTTCCTGTACAAGTCCACACCTGGGGCCCCTGTGCACCCAAGATAGATGCAGCTAGGAGGGGTCTTGGAGAGATGCGAAGGCTCACCCAGGGGTCTGACTCCCAGCCTCCTCCAGCATTGGAGCCCCGTGGCCTTCAGGCCTCTCTGGCTCCAGGGTACTGGAGTCTGGGCCCAGGACCAACAAGCATGCTGGTTTGTGCCTGCAGGCGTCCTTCCTGCCTCCACTGCTAGCCTTGGGCTCCCTCCCCCTAGTGCCCTCCATTCCCCCTTCCTTCCAGCCTTTCCTCTCACTGGATTTCCTGCAAAGCCACAAGGTGTATGGGGACCTGGCTGCACACAGGTGTGACCAACCATTTAAGTATCTTCAAAAGAAAGCAGGGGCAGTGCTTAGAGCCCAAGGCTTGCTCATGATGAAAGTGCCATAAATCCCACTGCAAGAATGTGAGGCCAGCATCAGTGATGGAAGGTCGCAGGTATTCAGGACACTGCCAAGGAACTTAAGAATCGGGAGAAATGTCCAGTTATCTGCAGTCAAGCACGGAGAAAACAACTGGTATTCAGGGAGGAATGTGGTCTTGTTTATACAGGACTGAAAGTGCATAGCTACTCTGACATCTGACGGTCACCAGCCCAAATACCTGGGGCGGGAGGGAGAGGCGGAGGAGCGCCTGGCTGGCCGGCTTCTGCCCTCTGTGCTCTGCACTCACCAAACATTGTTTTAGTTTTAGGGATGTTGAACAATTCTTCCCAAAAAACTCTGCATTTGGTGGCCATCCTGTTCCTGGTCCTCAGCTTGTCCACTTCGCTGCTGAGTTCGGGCTTTACCTTCTACAACAGCATCAGCAACCCCTACCAGACGTTCCTGGGCCCGACAGGGGTATACACCTGGAATGGACTTGGCGGTGAGTATCCCCAGGAGACCCTGTGCTCCACGGAAACCGCATTCTTCTAGTCTCCGTCTCAGCCTCTCTCCCTCACACACATGGACACACAGGTCACACGGTGGTGACAGGAGTTAGTGTGTCCCAGGTCTGTGGTGGGGTACTTCAGCACCTCTGGATGTAGAATTCTGTTTCCAATGCTCTGGCAATTTGCAAGAAGGGAGGTGAAGAGAGGGCGTGACAACGGCAACGTGAGCCACCTTTGCTCTTGAGAATCTCACCTTGAGTCACATAAAGCACACTTAAGTCAAGAGAGCACTCACTGGGCTCCTGCTGTGTAACTCCAAACCAGGCTCCATGAGATGTGCAGAAGTATATGCCATAAATCCCATTGTGTATACACAAGCACATGTGCACACATGTATGTACATGTACACATGTACATAGGTGCGTGCACACGCACACACACACACACGCTTATTTACTCCCCTGTGGCCTCCACTTAACCAGTCAACTTGGGCTCCTGAGATGTCACATCTGTGTCGTTGTGCCACTGAGCCAACATGGAGTCATTTAGGAGCCTCTGGGCTGACGCCCTCCTTGCAGGCTACCTGAGTCCTGGGCTGCTGTGGTGTTGCCAGGAGGTTTGGTCTGCTTCATGGTCGGGTGTGGGATAGTAGAGGGAGCCCAGATGGGAAGTGGGTCCTGGCTCTGCCTCATGGTATTTTGGACTCTTGCTGTGTTTTCCAGGGCGCTGTAGCTGCCACAGCTGCCCAGAGCTGGGCCAGGGCCAGTGGAGGGTCTCTTTGTCCGGTCCCACCTTCCTCTGAGGCCTTGCCCCTGCCAGACAGCAGGTTCCTCTGCTACCTTCCTCTGTCCTCCTCCAGAACTGGGTTAGGGAGCAAAGGCCATCCTCCTGGGGGACCAAAGGGGGCTTCGGGGTGCATCTTGACATGAGCCAGAGACCCAAGCTAGGAAAGATGCTCTGGATATCGAGGTGTCCAGAAGCCTCAGAGGAGAACCATGGGCAGCTTCCTCCTGTCCTTCTGTGGAAGGCCATCTTTACCACTGCCTGGCATAGGTGGCTGGAAGGCGCTCATGTCTCCATGCCTTGGCTACACCAGAAATGAGAGGAGAGAAAAGCCCTTCCTGTGGCAGGTTGGCATGGTTGGCACACCTACTGAGGACACTGAAGTTCCCGTTGGAGGTCCCTGAACCAGGGGTCCAGACCACCAGTCAGCCCCAGCACAGTGCAGGTGGCAGGAAGAGGGATAAAGCTTCTGGGGACTTCTAAGTTGTAAGCCAGGATGACAGGGGGCTACCTGTCCAGGAAGACTAGGGCACATGGTCACATGACATGCTAGCCTCAGCTCCGAGCCCTCGGGTCAGGCTGGCCTGGCAACATCCATACACAACTGGCTCTTTCCTTCCATGCTGTTGTTACCTAGGGGTCAAAACAAGCCCCCAGCTTCGTGGTGCACACTTGGGGCCAAGGACAACAGCCTGCAGAACGGTCCTCACTGTGGCCTCTCTGAGGGGGCTGAGCACCAAAGGGGAAAGGACTTGGTGCAAACCTAGACATACTCACCCGAAGCCAGGGCCCTGGCCCCCAGCTGCTGCTGCGACTATAGCTCACCTCAGCCAGCCGAGCCAGGCAAACCCCTGGACCTCCTCACTGGGGAAAGGGAAAGCACTTTTATTCCTCCTCAAGCAGCTGAGAATCTTAGGGAAACAGAGGCTTTGGCATGGCTGGGTTCGGGTCTCAGCCTGAGTCCTCAGAGTGCTGTCTGTCCCCTTTGCCCCCTCCAATTCCCCGCATTTGCTCAGTTCTGGCACAGCCAGCTCTGCTCTCGTAAGGGTCAGGTGGCTCTGGCAGCAGCACCTCATGAGGAAAGACCTGCGGGTTCCCAATGGTCAAGAGGGTATCCTGGGCCCAGAGAGTATCCTAGGCCAGCCTCTGTAGCCAGCAGGGTTGAATTCACGTAAGTGTTCACCAACTGGCCAAGGACACCCGAATCTCTGGAGCTGGGCTGGGCTGGGCCCTTCTCCAGCCCCAGGAGCACGTTGGGGAGGACCAGTGGGTTCCTGGAGGAGAAGCAGGAGTGGGTGTTCAGTGGAGATGCTGTGGCCACACTTGGGCGTTGCCCTGTAGGCCTGGCAGCCTGCTTCCCCAAGGCTGCAGCCCCTGGTGCCCTCCCCTCCTCAGCTGGACACAAGCTGACTTTGCACATGTCAGAGGCCCCATGTGTGTTTATAGAGAAAACATGAAAATAGGGTCAGAGAGCTTCCCCTCAGCCCGCTCACTTCTTCTATCTCTAGAGACTTGACACACACACACACACACACACACACAGGCTGCGAGGTGGGTGGGAAGACGGTCTGAGATTGATGTGTAAGAGCTGAAATGCATTCTGACAGGAGCTGGAGGAGACCTGGCCAGCTGTGGCTCTTCTAAATGTCCTGTGCAGACGTTGGGTCCCAATGCCTCATAAGCCAGACTTTGCCCTCAGTTTGCCCTCTGGGGACTACTGACATTTTTTCCTGCTTGCAGGATTGCAGAATTTAGCAATAACTCTCAGTTTGCAGGAGGCTGAGTCTGCAGGAGGGCCTGTGTACAGAGACTTCACCAGGCACCTTGGCCTTGGATTGCTGTGGGCCCGAGTCAGTCACCTCTGTGCCCTGGGGCCAGAGGGGAACACTGCAAACCCCTGGAGGCTGGGTTTGTGCACATTCTCCTGGGCTGGCATTTGGTGGGCAGGGTCCAGCAGGGCAGAGGAGGAAGTGGGTTTCTTTCTTGTTTCTGACGGAGAGTAGCAGGAGTGCCATCTCCATGGTCTGGTGCCCTGTGACCCAAGACCCTCTCTGCAGCACACTAGCCTGGTGTGGCTGGGCACTGGCCACACAGGGAAGAACCGCATACTCAGAGAAGGTTGGAGCCAGAGACACTCACAGACTGGTGGCTTCAAATACATTTATGCCTCAACCAGGGAGCCCAGGAAGCAACTAAGCAGGTCATATGACCTAGGGTGACAGGCCAGGACAGAAGCCTGAGTCCCTGAGCCTTCAGGAGCTCGTCATCAACCCTGGGGCTTCCTCTAGCTCCAGTAAATTCTTCTGTCCCAGATAGCTGGAGATGCCAGGCAGCTGGAGGCTGCGGTGGAGCCCAGGGCTCCTGGCATCTCACCTCCAGAGGGACTCGGGTCAGCCCTGAGTCGGTTTGGCTGCTCCTCCTCTGCAGATCAAAGCTCTAGATGGGCACGGAGCATCCTCCCCTGTATGATTCAGCCCTCTGAGGAACTTCACAAGGGGAAAATGAGGGGCAATTAAGGCAGGTGAGGCTGGGGAGCATCAGAGGACTGGGCTTTTGTTCACACAAATAATTAAGAAATAAAGCCATTGTTTGAGGATGAAGCCTGTCATCAGGGACTGTTAAATTGCTCCCCTCGCACAAACCTCTCTAATCAGAGCCTCTTGGAGACCATTCGGGACACCTCCCGGCGTGTGGGGCACACGGGTCTGACGCCAGGGTGTCCACTGCACTCTGCACGTTGCCTGGGTCAGCAGATAAAGGATCCTGGGGATCCCCCTGGTGGCCACATCTCAGTCAGACCCTGCCTGGGCCAGGCTCCCCTGCCTTGCCACCGGCCTGAGAGTCTGCACCCTCTCCCTCCCTGCAAACCTTCTCAGCAGCAGCGTGGTTGAGAAACGGGTCACATGCATGTCGTTTGGCCACCTTCAGCCCACCACTGGACAGGTTTCAGTAAGTCCTCAGACATGTGTGAGGCCACGGCTAAAGGGCTGCTTTTTGAGTCTTGAGTGGATGTGGAAAGACGAGCTCTGAATCTCTCTGTGTGGCCACAGCGTCTCCACTGGGCACCCACTCCTGCTTTACCACATCAACTTAAGACTCAAAAAGAAGCCCTTTGGCAGTGGCCTCCTGCCATCAGGAAGCAACCATGGGTCTATATTTTTGTCCATCCTTCCTGGTTAAAGGCCAAACCCACAGAGTCGTGCAGAATGAAATTCAAGCCCCTGAGCCGGCTGAGGCTGTGCAAGGGGTCCTGTCTCCACCCCCAGTGCTCAGGACCCTGCTGACCGCTGCCATCACAGTCCAGGATGTGGGGGCTCGCTGCCCACCTGTCATTGCTGCTCCTGTCGCCTGCCACGCTGCTCTTCCCTTAACCTTTCCCAGTCCTGTCCACCATCCAGACCCCTCTAGACTCCTGCCCTACTCGCGCTGCATGCGGTCACCCATCTGCCGGTGCACTGGGCTCTCCCGCTGCATGCGGTCACCCATCTGCCGGTGCACTGGGCTCTCCCGCTGCATGCGGGTCTGAGGAAGCACGTCACCTGGTAGACCAGGGGTACACAACGGCTGCCGGAAGGACTAGAGCTGGAGTATCTGCTCTTGGGCAGAACCAGCCTGGCACACCCCCAGCACTTTGTGCCTAGAACCTAGTTTGTGTCTTATATTTAAAAAATATTCTCCCCAAATACTTGAAAGAGTGTAAACTCCTGTGTAGATACTCAATAAACACTCTTAGAGCGTGTGTGTCCAAACAAAATACAACACAGGGCTGGGGATGTGGCTCAGTGGTCAAGTGCCCTTGTGTCCGATCCCCGGTACCCCCTCCCCCCCAAATGACAAAACAGGAGCGTGTCATCGTGTCATTAGGAGCTTTGTTCTCTTCCCAGCATCCTTCATTCTCCTGACCATGCTGCTGTTTGTGGGGAACACACAGTCCAACCATCTCTCCGGGGAACTGCTGGAGAAGCTCTACCCAACAGTCACTAGTGGAGGAACGACCCACAGCTACGGGTACTCATTTTGGCTCATCCTGCTGGTCATTCTTCTCGATATCGTCACCGTGGTCATCATCATTTTCTACCAGAAGGCCAGATACCAGCAGAAGCAGGAGCAGAGAAAGCCCATGGAGTATGCTCCCAGGGACGGGATTTTATTCTGAATTCGACTTGGGGTCACTTTGGCGTTGTGTCTGTTTGGTGGACGTCAGCTCCCCGAGCAGTGGCAGGCAAGCTTCTCTGGACAATCAATATGGAAAGATGACTGCCATTTGTGATTTTTCTGACTGCCATTTGTGATGACTTTTCTCTCCCCGGACACCGTGTTCTTCACAGAGACCGTTGCCTTGGAAGGGGTGGGGAAGAGGAGTGGGGAGGCCATGTCTAGGCAGTGCTCCCTGCTGCGGAGGGTCAGGAGCCGGTGGCCTTCCCACCATCTGAAACAGGAAAGGTCCCACACCTTCCCTCTGACTAGCCAGGAGCACTTTAGCACCTGTCACCTGCTGTCTGCAGGAGGGGGCAGGTATTTTCATTCTGCTCTAAGAATAAAGACTTCCAGGTACAGAGAGATTCAGAGCTTGTCTTTCCACATCCGGGGGTGGGCAGTAAAAGGACTCAGGAGGAAGTGACCTGGGTTTCTGGTTCCTCAGTCGCTGGGTTTAACCCAAACCCAGCGGTGAGTCGATAAGTGATCCTGAAACCTATTCTTGAGGTTCCAAGGTGTGGTTTTGGGTGGGAAGAGATTAGAAGTGAAAGCATGGAAAAATAAAAATTATAGCCTTTATTCTTTTTGTTAAAAAGGATAAGTATTATAATTTTGGTTTAATGGGATCGTGGTAAATTCAGTCAAAATAGAAATGAAATATCTGGGCAAGTTATACTACCACCCCATGAACCAACCCTCTGCTTAGTTACTGTGGGCAGATATAAGCGTGCTGGGCAGACGGGGGTACTGCCCATCAGCACCCTCCTGCCCAGCCGGAAGCCGAGGGAGAAGCAGGTCAGAGCCTGTGGCTTGCAGTTTCCTGGGCAAGGACCAGGGCCCACCCGGAGTTCAGGGGCTGGGGAAACCCTCCAAGAGCAGGTGGACGGAACTGGTTGGTAGTTTCCCAAGAAGACAGTTGGGCAACCAGGAATAGAGAACTCAGTCACCTACCTTCCAGTTAGGGTAACTTCCCAGAAAACCACCGGAGCCTGCCTATTCCCCAGGCTGGCCGGGTTGGCTTCCGACAGGGCTGTGAGCCTGGCTGCACCAGGGCTGAGGACAGCAGGTTCGCTGGGGCAGTTTGCCCAGCAGCCGCTCTAGACAGAGGACCCACCCTTCACCAAGCTCTCTGGGTGACATCCTCCTCTGATTATTTTCAGGGTCTGTCTTACAAACATGCCCTGGGCACCTGGGATGAGGCTGCACTGGGCTAACCTGAGCATGTGCCCTGTGGGGTCCCTGTCCAGCACTTAAGACCGAGGCCAAAAAGCCACGGCTCGATTCCACTTAAAATACATCCTCAGTCACAATGTTGTGCTTGTTCTTTGAAACGTCACTTCTCTCTAACCCTTACCCTAAAGTCCTATCAACTCAAAGTTACTCTAATCTGTTAACCGATGACAAAATTTAGAACACATTTTTAAAAATCTGGTCTTCAACATTAAAATGTTCTCAATTCCTCAAGCCCAGAAGCATTTGTATTCCTTGAAGATTTGGGTTTTATATCAGGTTTTGATGACATAGACAGGAGATGAAGAGGAAAGAGTCACAGGTGACAAAGTCCTGCAAATGACTGCCCAGTAGGCAGGCCCTCATGTCTCATGCCCATGCCTGCCCTGCTGGGCAGGGGAAAGTGCACTGCACTTACTAATCTCAGGACAGGAAAAGAGCTTGGTCTCCTCGGGAAGAAATTGTCCTGATCCTCGAATTCCAGATGAACTTTGGAACCATTTAAAGCCCAGGAATAAGGTGAATGGAACTCAGTTGTCAAAGGCTGGCCTCATGATAACTGAGGGTGCTGCAGCTCTCTAGGTCTAGTCCTTCTCCCGGCCCAGGATGAAGCAACCAGCTCCCAGCACCTGGACACAAGTGTGGGCTCCACTGTCTACACCTGGAATCTCAGAGCCAGCTGTGAGATCAAGGTCCTGCCTCCTGGCTTCTCCTGCTTATGACTGAAAACGAATAAGTAACAGGATGATCTTTGGGATTAAGTAGGAAGTCCTGAAATCATGCTGCCTGTGGTCTGCCATTGACTCAGAGAAGCCTCACTTGACTGGTCAGTGAGAGAGGACAGCAAGGGCAAGCCTAGCTTCCTGGCTATGGTGAGCCTAGGCCTCCGGGGCATGTGCCCAGGTGGCTGGCAGCCCTCCTCTTCCTCATAGAGCTGCAAGTCTCTAGCTCAGGGTGAAAGGGTGAGGGTGGGCCCATGCTGCACCCTTAGCTACTGCAAGTCACATTAATTCTCTTGTTCTAGAGGAGACACGTAATAAATAGGCAACTGAAGCAGGGCGGTTAATAGGATTGCCAAGCACCCAAGGCTGGCAGGTGGCAGAGCAGGACCCCAAGCAAGGCCCTTCACCTGCACTGACCCAGGTCCAAAAATACTGTGTGCATCAGACCAAGGGAAGGGCCGCAGTGTCACCAGGAATGGAACCATGAAAGGCTCCTCCTCCAGCACTCCCTGAACAGGACACATGGCGTCCTCTGTGGGCCCAGTCATCCTACCCCATTTGTGGCTCCCATTCCTCCAGATCAAGGAGGCTCAGACTGATAAGGCAAAGGCACCCACTGGTTTCAAGTCAGGCTTCAGGTGGACTTGGCTGCTAACCAGAGCTGAAGGGATCTCCCCACGGGGCCTGCTGCTCCCTGAGAAAAGGACTTTGTCATTCTTAAAGCAGAAAGATAGGGCCCAGGTGACTGATGGGAGCCAGGGCACTGGCTTATCAAACCTGCCCTGGAGGGGGAACAGAGATGTGGGGCCGTCAGTGGCACTTGAAATGTCCTGCAGCCTGACCCTGGAGAAGCTGTGGCTAGACAGGAGCACCGGGCTCCACCCCTGCTCCTTGGGGCTTCCTGCTTTGTGTCCTCCTGCTGCCCAAAGACACTGAACAAGAATTACAGCATCGGTTAGCTTTAAAAAAAGAGGATTTGTATCTGTATCTAACTTCAGGCTGTGAAAGTTTCATTTTCAAAATGCTTAATTGCTTAGTAAAAAAGAAAAACAAATGTAGAAGTGCATCACATTTCATAATCGTTCTTTTTAAATAAGTTTCTTTAAAACAAGAGCAGCCCTCCTGTTTTAGATCCCTTCCTGCCAACAGAAGGGTAGACTTGTAACTTTTTTTTTGAATTTTATTATCATTATTATTATTATTAGATTTTATGGTTATACATAGTAGTTGGATAGACTTCTAAATTTTTAACCTTGGCCCTGGTAGAAAGACCACTCCCCTGGCTCTCTGGAAGCTCACCCACTCCAACCAAACACTGGGTCCCTGTCCATCAGTGTTCTTATAGAGGACACGTGGCTGGGGCCAAAATCCTGACAGGCCCTGGGTGTGTCTGAGAAGGCTATCAAAGCCTGGAGTTCAGGTCCAACAGAGGACTTTGGCCCCCATCAGTTACCTCCAAGCACATGCTATTTTGAGTGACAACGTGTGCTGGATTCTTGCAGGTAAACATTCACCCTTTGATTAAAAACATAATGAGTTGCATTAGACCCTGAAAACTGCATATTCTCTTCCCTGGCTTCCTAAGTGGTCCGTGGATTTAAAATAGTCCACCCTCTTTCTGAGGACTGCATTACAATCCAACCATGAATCACTATGCTGGGGGCAGTTGGTGTAGAGAAGAGAGTGTGCACTGTCAAGAGACTGAAGCCCAGTGACAACCAGGGGAAGAAATGTTCTTGGACCACTTGCTGCATGTGAGACAGAGAGGCAGGGGCCGGGGTCCCAGCAGTGTGTGTCATTGACACAGGACTTATGGAGCAGCTGGTCAGATGATGCTGAATCCACACAGCAAGGTCACGTGGAAGTAGATTCCCAGGAGCTGCGGGGCATCCCCAAGGAAATCTAGACCACTGGGGACAACTTCCTGGAGACAGAGGTGACCTTAGCTCTACCACAGACTCTGTGACCTCGGCAAGACCTGAAACCAACCTTAGAAATGATCCAAAATAACCACTCGTCACACAGAAGTAGAGGAAACCCAGAATTACCTTCATCTGTTTCCTCACTTGAAAAATAAAACCAATAAAAGGGTAAGAGATTTAGGAAACTCAAAAGTTTTCTTTCTTTTTAATTTCATTGAGTTTGTTTTTAAGAAACACTTACATAAACACCAGATGTGACAGTTTCCAAACACACAGGTGTAGGGAGTTAATGTCTTCCAGGAGCCCGCCCTCCAAGCTCTGCTTTGTGGCGTCCTGCTCCCGGGGCAGGGGGTGGGGAAGAGCCCGCTGCCGCCCTTGGAAAGTCCTTGCTGCGCCATGACCGGCTTGAGCATGTGGCAGCCGCTGCTACGATTCACGCACCCTCCGGTACCGAAAAGTATTCAGTACTTTTTCAGCCTTTTGCTGCAACTTTTTTCCTGATAATCCTTTCTCCTCTGAACTTTCTTCTTTCTGACTAGAGTTCCTGGGCTTCCGTCAACACATGCCCCAACTATTCTTGGTTCCACTGGGGTGCCTTCTTCCCTTAGTAATTTACTTCTCACCCCTTCCATATTTTCGTCACAAAGACAATACAATACACTGAGACAAAACAAGACACAAACATGCTGTATCAATCCTCTCCATCTTCTTAAAATGGTCATTCTTTCTCTCGCCCTGTCTGCTTAGGGACGAGCAGATTTGCTCCCATCCTATCTAGGGATGGGCAGCTTTTTTTTTTTCGTCACTTACCCCGGAGTGTCCCGGGGCTCCCCGTAACGGGCCACCATCTGCCACAGTCTGGCTACAGCAAATTAACGGGGGGGGGGGCGGGGTGACGAAGAACTTGTGTAGATTGATACAGCAGGAGTGGGAGCCGTTTATCGTAGGACAGGAGGGGTATATATACATTCCACACAGCTTATCTAATTAGCATAGACTAGATACAGCAGTCAACCAATAAGGAATCTCCACACTTAATGGCTCGCTGGCGTTACTTCACAAACCACTCCCTCTGGCATTTTGCCAGGTGCCATCTTGACTTGTTTACAGACACTGACAACCTAACAGAATCCAGTTGGCAAGGGAGTGCAGATGGTCACGGGGGCCTTTCAATAGGATGTGAAAGATTCATTCCCTGATGCAGAACAGGAGTCCTTTAATAAAGAGCTCTTGGTCTCCAGACTTCTCCTGTGCCCTTCACTTACTTTATGGAGGAATGAGCCTCCATCCATTTACTCAAGTCCTAATCCCCCTTGGCAGTGTGTTTGGAGATGGGCAAACTAGGTTAAATGAAGTCATGAGTGTGGCTCTAACACAGCGGGGCCCGTGTCACTGTATGGAGAGACACCAGGGGCCTGGAGTCACAGAGGAAAGGCCACAGGTGGGCGGAGTGTGAAGCAGCCACCTGCAAGCCAGAGAGAGGCTCCAG